TCGATGTAGGTTCATCGACTGTAAAACTGCCCCACTCTGGAGAGGGTGTTTACAGTGGGGCTTACGCTGTATGTGTTGGGGGCAGGTGGCTTATGGGACTCTGAACCTTCCTCTCCATGTAGCTGTGAGCCTAAAACTGGTGTGAAAAATAAAGTCTTCTTTGGCTCATGATCAAAGAATGCTGAAGAGAACCTGATGTTCTGTGATTCGCAGTTAATATCATAATACTATTCCCAACCTCCTGCCCTAAGACTTTACCACAGAACTGGATGCCGAGACTAAACACGGCTCTTGTTCCAGACCCGCAGCGGCCACTCTCCTTCCCTCTCCTCCCGTCACTAGCTCATTTCGGGACAACCTGCTACGTGCCTGTGACCACCGCATTTCTGCTCTTCATCATCTGCTTTGTGAGCCTAGAAATGACAGTTATGCATGTTAGAATGACACTTAAATTACAAATAAAGACGACATGAGTGAGAACACAGGACGTGCGTGTGGCTTCTCGGAGCTGAGAACATCTGTTCTAGCAGCTGGAGGTTTGCTTTCCTGTCCTCTCGGGCTCCTGGCAGTGCGTGAGCATTAGAGCACTGAGTGCCACTCTTGCAGGCTGGACTCCCCTCCCCTTTATTCTGCTGTGAGCTGTGCACTCATTGCCTCTGTCACTCCCCGTAAGCGCCTTAAGCATGGGTGTCCCACTTTACTGAGTCATAAATCCTCTCACGGTGTTTCACACAGGAACCTCACCTGAAGTGCATTTTGGACTGGAAGGCTGAATTTGTGTCAGGCAAAGTTACAAGAAGGAGATTTCAATCAGATTTTTTTTTTCTTTTTTTCTTACTTTTTTTTTTGAGACAAGAGTCTCACTCTGTAGCCCAGGCTGGAGTGCAGCGGTGCGATCTTGGCTCACCGCGATCTTGGCTCACAGCAACCTCTACCTACCAGATTCAAGCAATCCCCCTGCCTCAGCCTCCCAAGTAGCTAGGATCTCACCTGCCCCTCCTGACAGATACAAGTGCAGACGGTGAGATTCTCAGGTGCTGTGGGGCCTCCTTCTCAGCTCAGCCCACTGTGGCTGGGTCAGGCTGTTCACATCGCAGTTCTTGGGAACTGTTTGGGATTCCCTTACTGTAAGAGGGATTTTTTTAAATGCCTCAATGCCTTCTTTTATCCTACCTGAGGTTTGTGACAAGCCACAGTCACATTGGGGTGATCCAAGTTAATAACCACAGGCATCTTTGCCAGGAGAGCACATGGGAAGGACATCAATCGCCTTGTGAGCTCCGCACTGAGAACGATCCTCGCCATGCTTAGATACAGCCGCCTGCTGGGAGGTCCTACAATCGTGTTTTTAATGGAATGGCAAGGTGAGCACTCACGTCTGAGTTTCCTGTTAAAATGCACATCTCTGGCTGCATCCAGGAGATTGTAAGTGAGACTCTCTCATGTCAGGACACAGGAATCCCTGTGTTTAAGGAGTAGCTGCAGAGACTGTTCTGGACCCAGAGGCTTCACGCTGCCATGGCTATCTCTACATGGCCGTCTCATTAGCACTCTGAGGGCTGCTCTGATTCAGACTTTAGGAACATGAAGCTAAGAACATTGATGAGGCGTAGTGGCGTGTCCCAGACTATACAGAGAGCAGAAAACAGAGCTGCAATAACGAATTGTGAATGATCACCGGTGTTTTTTCTACTGAGTCACAACCATCACTGAGGACAGCGCTGTGGGGATTGATGACCGAGCTTCCACGACCAATTCCCACCCTCCGGAACGCTCAGGAAGCAGGCCTGGATGATGAGTCAGCGGCCCACGGCTGGGTGCATTCAACTGTTCAGTTTCTGCTGCTGAAGCATTTGGGGACATGTTTAGGGCCTTAGAATGTGTTCTAAGGTGTCTGTCACACAGCGTGGCCCACCAGCAGCAGGGCTGCATCACTGTGCCAAGACCCTAGCCTAGGGGTGATATTCGGTGATGCCAGCAAAATGGGCTGTGAAGGGAGGGCCTAAACATGCCTCCTTCATGACTCTGGAGAACTAAGCACAGTCAGCTCTTCTGAATGCACAGGTTTAATTGGGCTGGGAGCGGTGGCTCATGCCTGTAATCCCAGTACTTTGGGAGGCCAAGGCAGGCAGATCACTCAAGGTCAGGAGTTTGACACCAGTCTGGCCAACATGATGAAACCCAATCTCTACCAAAAATACAAAAGTTAGCCAGTCGTGGTGGCGGGCACCTGTAATCCAAGCTACTACCAAAAATACAAAAGTTAGCCAGTCGTGGTGGCGGGCACCTGTAATCCAAGCTACTTGGGAGGCTGAGGCAGGAGAATTGCTTGAACCCGGGAGGTGGAGGTTGCAGTGAGCCGAGACTGCGCCACTGCACTCCAGCCTCGGCTAGAGAGTAAGACCCTGTCTAAAACAAAAAAAGGTTGGAGATGGGGGGAGACAAACAGCTTTCATTTCATTTGTCTAAAGAGGTAAAATTGCCCTTTTCTCCCTGAGGGAGAATATTAGACTTCTGTAACTTGTTCTCACTTCTTTCTTTCGCCTCAATTTATAAGACTCATCACCTCAGTGTAAAAGGCCCATGTGTTTCCTAATGTTTTATCAGGTTTAAAATACTCAAAATACTCAGCTAAGGAAACCTTTCTAATTTATTATAAAAGTCCTAACGCTCAGCAGGGGGAAATGTTGATGCCATAGGAAAAGTCCAAATAGAATTCTACTTCCACAGAAGAAAATGCTATGAGAAAAAGTTCAGGCTGGAGAACTTCTGTCTCCACTCTTTCCTTAGCAATGCACTTTTAGCAACATTCCTTTCTCCCCCATGAAAAATAAAGATTTTAAGAGGAAAAATCACTTTTTCAAGACCCTTCACGAATGAACAATAACACTTGGTGTGGGCTCGTATTGAGTAGAAATTGTCTAAAGAAATGATGGGCCAGCTGAAGTGGCTCACACCTGTGATCCCAGCACTTTGGGAGGCCAATGTGGGAAAACAGCTCAGGGCCAGGAGCTGGACACCAGCCTGGGCAACACAGTGAGACCTTGTCTCTACAAAAACCAAACTATTCAGCTGTCCATAGTGGCATGCACCTGTGGTCCCAGCTACTGAGGAGGCTGAGGCAGAAGGATCATTTGAGCCCAGGAGGAGGCTGCAGTGAGCTGAGACTGCACCACTGCCCTCCAGCCTGGGCAACAAAGGGAGACCCCCATCGCAAAAAAACCAAACACATTAAAAAGATAAAATAGAACTGTTTATATCCACATGCTTTCAACTCAAAGTTTTCCTTGGTAGAAAGCCAGGTGAGTGTGGAGGAGGAGGTCTTGGGGTCAGAGCAAGAGAGAAGCCCAGGTGGCTCCTTAGCTGGGCGTCGTGGCCACTGCCTTATCCACGCTGGCTGGTGGCCACACACAGGAGCTCGAGGTCTCACTGGAGTATTCACGAGTCCCGGGTCCCAAGCACATGGGACAGGAACAGAGTAACAGGCGTCCTCCTCCCATATCCTGGCCATGCCCTTCATCCGTTCAGAACTGCTTTCTCCGGGGGCTGTCTCAGGGCAGACCCCCCAGGAGCCTGAGAGTCCCTTGTCCTTTTCTAGGATGGGTGTGAGGCTCGAGGCCCCCCCTCCTGTGCCATGTTGGGTTCGAAGACCGTACTTGGCCCTCAGGGCTGGCACTGGAGACACCAGAGGCCATGGGGTCCCAAAAACCCCAAACCCTGTGTCCAGGGCCCCATATTTAACATTCTAATCCAACCTCAGCCCTGAAACCCAGTCTGAGGGTAGAGGGTGATCGCTAAGCTCCAGCAGCTCAGAAACACGCAAAGGCTCCTCTGTGCTCCCCCAGGACATTGAGTCCATCTGACACCCTGGGGTCGGGGGGAGGTGAGTGCGTCTGACACCCTGGGGTGCAGGGCAAGTATGTCTGACCCCCTGGGGTGGGGAGTGAGTGCATCTGACACCCTGGGGTGGAGGGCGAGTGTGTCTAACCCCCTGGTGTGGTGAGTGAGTGCATCCGACCCCCTGGTGTGGGGTGTGAGTGCATCTGACACCCTGGGGTGGGTGGGGAGGTGAATGTACTAACTTGAGTGGCCTTCACAAGCCCATGTGGCAGCACCACCCTCTGGCATAGTCCCTGTGGGTGAGGCTGTGGCTGTGGGTCCCACCTGCCCGGCTTCTGAGCCATTTCTCAGTTCATTCTCACCTGGGGGGTGGGCAGGAGGACCTGTTCCAGGTTAGCTCCCCCAAGCCCCGGTGCCCCTGGGAACTTTCAAGGAGGAGGCAATGTGGGTGGAAGGGGAGGGGACGCTGGGGAAGACCATACCGGCCCACCCAGTACCTCCCGACCCGCTCCAGGGGAAGGGGACTGCACTTGGTGGTCCTACTGATCACTTCTTTCATTTTCTGCATTTTGTGACATTTTGGCATCTTACAGAGCGTGCTGGCCTGGCCTGGGACACGCTGCCCTCACAGGGTCAGCCCATTCTTAGAGATGGGAAGGGCTTGGCTGGGAGCTCATAAACCAACCGGCCGGAGTCCACACCCCAACACTTCCTCAGCTACTCTCACACACAAGCCCTGCCCTGCAGCACCCCTGGGCCCAGCACCAGGCAACTGGAGACCACTGTGGTAGCCCAAAGCCCACTGGAATGACTGAAACCCATACAGCGAAGCGGCTCTGCCTGCCCTGGCCTGCCTCCCTGGGAACCAGAGTCAAGGCGCCGGCCTTGGCTTCCACTTGCTCCTGGTGCTCCTAAGGTCCTGTGTGCTGTGCCGTGACCCCCTGCTGGGACCCGTGAACGGACTGAGGAATCGGGTGGCAAGTGGTAAGGGACACCCCAACTTAGAACCTCTGTGCGGGGGGAGCTTCAGGAGGCTGCAGGCACAGGTGTCAGCCCCGGGTCCCACAAGCAGCGCTAGGATCCCTGGTTCACAGGAGAGAGCGCACCTCATCTGACGCTCACTGCAGAGACAGAGAAACGCAACCTGGACACACGTCAGCGGCACTGGCACTTTCCGAGCGATTTATTTCATCTCGGCATGAACTGACAGATACACAGGGCTTTGCACTATTTACGCCGAGGATTTTACAACTCAAGCATTAATAAATACATTCACTACACAGATTGTAACAGCTGGCCTGAACTTGGCCTTCAACACATGTGGTTTACCTTTAACAAATGTTAACATTTGAGAACCACTTTGGAGGAGCTTTGATCTCACATGAGAACCCGTCTCCTGTTTTACGTCCGTTCCATCCGAATCCATTCACTTAGTGAGTCAGAAGCACCTGCCCGCACAGGGTCTGTGCTGGGTGCCTGAAGGCTGCACAGTCTGGACTCCCTCCCCATGCAGAAAAAGTGGAAATAATGTGGCCGCTGAAATAAATTCAATGCAAACGAAACAACTGCAGATTTCCATTTTCGGCTCGTGTTATCTTCTTATGAATAATAATATTGCAGAAGAAAGGGGAAAATCAGAAAGTTTACTGATTTTTAACCCCCAAATAAAACTGTAAGTTGGAAAGCATCTGAAGTAAATGAGAACACAAAAGTGCCCTTTTGTCTACGTTTCCTCCGCTAAGATCTTACAAGAGATTATGTCTTGAATCTATCTTGATTTCAGGAAAAGACAAAAGAACGTCAAAAACATCCTATTTCCAAACGGTTTACCTCAAGTTAACTAAGACTGACGGATTCAACGGCTGCTGCCAGAATTAGTGGTGACACCAAATATTAGCAGAAACAGCGCAGATGATTAATTTCTTACTCAAGTATTTGTAGCCAAACTGATATAGTCTTGAGTTTTAGTTAAGTAGCCAAAGAATTTCCACAACATTCATTTTCTTACAGGAAAAGCAGTGCCTCCACAGACTCAGAAACCAAATCCTGAAGTTCCAAATCCCAGCTCTACAAAGCTGCAGTAAGCAGTGTGGAGAGGAGGGCTGTTCTCAAGATGAAGAATAAAACCAGAAGGCAAAGGAGGAAGGCTCAAGCTCATTCCTCTGCATCCCAAATGAACCTCGATTGGCAATACAGAAGGGATTGCTGTCAATGAAGCAAAAGGTCAGGCTTCTGTGCGTAACATTTTCCCCAGAAGACACCACTGCCTTTCAGACATTTGGAAACACCCCTGTATATGGGTTAATTTCATGAGAAGTGTAGATAGCTGTCATCAAGGCACTAGCCTCATCTGACTCTTTTAACGGGTAGATCAGCAATATTTTGCACCAACCTTTTTCCTACACAGTGTTGGATGCAGACATAGAACACCACTCCGAATTGGAAACGATCCTACCTGGAGCATCAGACATTGCCAGTCTGTCTCAGCAAATACCTCTGCCCTCCCACCAGCAGTCCTGGAATCAAAGCCTTGGACGGTGTGGCTTTTCTCTTTGTTTCACGGGTGCAAACACTAGTGGCTCCACAACCCAGGTACTGGCCCCCAAAAAGCAAAAACGCTGCTGACGGCAAGGCAGGTCCTCTAATGTGTGTTTTTATGTGATACTACTATTCAGAAATGCTGCGTACACTATTCTATGTATTTCCAAAACAGGTTGGCTGAACATCCTTTAACGGTTGGTATACATCCTTTTCTCTTATTCTTTAGGTTTTTGTGCATTTTATTGTGAAAAGGCGATGGAGAGTGCCTTGGGCTCTGCTACAGGAAGCGGTGCGATGCTACTGTGGGCATTCCTTCACTAAATGAAATGCTGGAAAGCCACAGGAACTCCCGGGGGCACGTGACGGTGCAGCTGCCCCCACCCGACGGCATCCACTTCTCTTGTCCTCTTCCAGGGACGGTGTTACTTTGGAGCCCAATTTCCACATTTCATTTTCAAACAATAAACATTACAGGAATGATTTCACAACTAAAATCACAGTGATAATAGCGTATGAGTTTGATCTTTAAGGACTGAAAATATTACCCTGGTCCGGGTCCCATTTCATATAAAAATTTCTACCATTAATAATAAAATTCTAGTGGAAAATGCAGGACAGTGTGAATGGTACATTGCTTAAAATGGACATTATTTGTTTCCTTTTGCTGTACTGTTCCTACAACCATTTCTCCAGTATACTCCTACAGAAGGCCGATAAAGTCAGGCAATATGAAGTCTGTTTTTCTTTCCCAAGATGATTAACCAAGTTGCCAATCTATCCCCTCAGTTCATGAGTAACCACGGGCAAGCAAACATGTCCCCAGAACACACTCTAATCCAGATCATAAATTCCAGTCCCCGAAGCATGCATAAGATCCAAGCTGATCACTTCTAAACACACTTCACTGAGCCTCTCATAATCACAGACTCCTTAAAAAGCATAACCTATTTTTCAATTACCCAGCAATTTCTACAGAGATGGCAGTTCCCATCACTGGCTTAACAAACAAATAATGTTAAAATAGGCATGATTTCATATAGTGACATTCCACGAACTTTCATTTATTTTCCTCTTTCAATAAGAAAATGGGTTGGATTCAGAGTTCAAATGTTTGCCTCTATTTGTGAGCATGTATCTCATCCTCAAACTTCTAAGTCCTCCATATACACACTTGAGAAATAAAATGTTAAATGAGGAAAGACCCAATTGATTTGTTTTTAATCCTCACAGCCTGTCAATCAACGCAGTGAGCCTCATGTTAATTCTATTCGGGCATTTTGCAGTTCAATTCAATTAAGAACATGCAGTTTACTTGCTAACCTACTGTGCACAAGCATGTCACTTCCTTGTTATATACCTTACTATGCCCACTGTCACTGAAGCACTGTCTTGGAATAGTGATTGTAAAAATTATTCTCCCTCATCACAACTACACGATCCATATTTAAGACATCAGAAATAGTGCGTTCAAAATGTGCCTACAGATTTTTACAGAACAAAATGATTTTTCCTTTCTGGAATTTTATCTCATTTCAAAATATGGAAGTGGCTGGGCATACAGAGTGGGCTACTGAAGACTGCTTTTTAGATAGACAAACACCCCTGAAAGTTTTTCCTACTTATGATATGCTGTTTGGTAACATTTAGCCACTGAAGACTTAAAATTTAAATAATGACAAATCAACGCTACATCGTTGACCACAGTTAACATCCCTTAAACAGAAAATATCAAAGCCCTGTTGGTCCAACAGTGAGACGGAGCCGCTGTAGGAAATTGAGTCTGAGTAGCAATGGTGTGGAAAAGGAAATACTTCCAATTCACATTGGTCAATAAACCTTACTGGTAATCAAATATTTTACCTTTAATGCTTACTAAATTACTCTTTTTGGAGTTGAGCCAACCAAAGCAAGCACATAGTGGTACAAACTTTTCAACTCAATTAGAAAGAGCTTTACTTATCAGTTATAATTTTACATCTCAAGCCAAAGTCAAAAAGCGTGATCTCTGAGCGCTTCCACTGGTAGTCAGCTGCGACCTACTTGAGGGCCCCAGGCCTCCAGGCGTAGCCTTGGTGCTCTGAGGGGTTCAGGACACCCCAGGGCCGGCTGCAGGGCCTCAGGTCCACGACGTCCACCCACGGCATCCTGTGGATCCCACAGCCTTTTCTGCGTCCTGTCAAGGGACCCATCTGCACACACCCTGGGTCTCACAGCATCGACCCCCACAAGCAAAGAGAAGCAAAAAGGAAAGCAAAGCGGAAGCGGCCTCGCCCGGCCTCCGTGGGGCTCCTTCCAACCATCCAAACGACCAGCGCGACCAGCGGCCCGACTCCCCCAACCTGTCCTCCGCTGGCCTCAAAGCGCCCCCGCCCCCGAGGGAGATGCCCGCCTACCCCGCCGGCCTACACGGGGCCCTGCTCTCCTTGGGGCTTCTCGGGCAGGCGGAGCGTGAAAGGGATGAGCACGCCGCGGGCGTCCAAGGGGGCGCCCAGCGCCTCGAAGCCGCCGCCCTGGCCCGCGTCGCCGCCGGCCTCGCCGTCCCGGGCGGGCAGGAAGCGCCAGGTGCCCGCGCGGCTGACGCAGTAGATGGCGCCGTCCAGGGCGGCGCAGCGGAAGGGCTGCAGGCCCGCGGGGGCGCCGGGCGGGCGCAGGGGCGAGGCGCACGGGCTCCACTGCTTGGCCAGGCAGTGGTAGCGGGACACGCTGACCCCGCCGCCCGGCCCCGCCGCCTGCGCCTCGCCGCGGCCACCGCTCAGGTCAAAGCGGTAGATGAAGCCGTCAAGGGCCACCATGTCGGCCGACCGCTCGCGGCTGCTGCTGCACGGGCACTCCTGCCACTCGTCGCGCCGCGGGTCGTACTTGAGCAGGCGGTAGAAGAGCGAGCCTCCGGACACGTAGATCTCGCCGTTGCAGGCGGTGGCCTCGTGTGCCACAGCGAAGGCGCCCCGGGGCAGCGGCGCCACCGGGGCCCAGCGGTCCGCGCGCGGGTCGTAGCGCTCCACGCTGAGCAGGCACTCGCCGCCCACGGCGTAGAGGTGGCCGTCCAGGGCCAGCAGCCGCAGCTGCGAGCGCGCCTGGCGCAGGGGCCGCACGGCGCTCCAGGTGTCGGTGGCCGGGTTGTAGCAGAAGACCTGGTCGGAAGGGCGGGCCCGGCCGTCGGGGCCCGCGGGCGCCACGCCGCCAGCCACGAAGAGGTAGTTGTAGAGGACGCACAGGCCGCAGCCCCGCGCCGGCGCGCCCTCGGGCAGCCGCGTCAGCTCGCGCCACTCCCCGGTCCCAGCGTGGAAGCAGTAGACGGCCGCGTCCCCGCGCGCGTCCGAGTCTCCCGAGGGGCTCTGCGGCCGGCTGCCCGCGCGCTCCCCGGCCGGCCCCAACGCCGCGGCCAGGAGGTGCGCGCGGCCGGCGCGCAGGCGGCGGCGCAGCAGCAGGTCCCGCTCGGCGCCCGACAGGCGCCCGAACACGGCGGGCTCGCGCAGCACCTCCAGGTAGTGGTCGCTCATGAAGCGGTACGCGGCGTCGCGCAGCTCGTTGAGCCGCTGCCGCTTGGCCGCGCTCAAGACCTCGTAGCAGTTGGCCAGGCTCAGCTGCGACCCCACGGCGTCGGTGGCGCGCTGCGCGGCTCCGGGCAGCTGCAGTCGGCGCGCGCCGGCCACCACCTCGGCCACGTTGTCGGGCCGCACGCCCGCCATGTGCCCGCTGTAGGCGTCAGCCAGCAGCAGCCGCAGCGCCGCTAGGCTCACGCCCTGCACCCGCAGCACGTCCCGCGACGCGCGCGCGCGGAAGTAGTCGCTGCGCGCCGCCAGCACCGCCTTGTGCGCGCGCAGCCGGCGTCCCGACACCTCCAGAACCAGGTCCGGCTCCCCGTACTCCGCTCCGAACCCCGGGGGCACGGGCGCGGGCTCCTCGGGGCACGTGGGGTCCTCAATCCAGGCGCGCGGCTCAGGGGACGCCGCCGCGGGCTCTTCCGGGCACGCGCGCTCCTCGGGGGACGCGAGCTCCTCCGGGGACGCGGCTCCCGCGCTGCCGGCCTCCCACTGCCGCTCCACCACCCGCGGGCCGCCGCTGGAGGGCGGGGAGGTGGCCGCGCCCTCCGCCGCCGGGGAGCGGGACTGCGGCGGGGACTCCTCCCCGGAGCTGAAGCACAGGGACGCACTGAGACTGCAGGGTGTCTGCGCTGAGGACGCGGCGCCCTCGCTCTCGCCCTCCCCCGCGCCCGGAGGCGGCTGATCGGGCTCTCCCGCAGCCCCAGGCTCGGTCCCCTGGTAGAGGACGCAGGGGGCCACTGCGTGCTCCATGGCTTGGCTGTGCTGCACCCACACGCCCCCGGCTCCGCAGCCCGCAGGTCTGGCCAAGGTCGAGCGTCACTCCGGGGTTTCCAGCTTCACAGCTTTTCCTGGCACGCGATCAGATTTCACTTCTGTGTGTCCACGCTTTTTTTTTGTTGTGGGGGGGGGGGGGGGGGGAGGGAGGGGGAGGGATCTCAGACGCTGCTACCCCCTCTCCCTTCCCCTCTCATCTCCTGCAAGGAGGGGTGTGTCCAACTCGTGCTAAGCTTCTGAACCCCAGTAACTTTAAATCTGCCCAGAAAGTCTTGGTGAATGGTCTAAGACCACGCCAGCCAACATCCAGCACGGACTGGAGCTGCAGTTTATTGCGGTTCTTTTTGCAGCCTAGGTGACGAGGTGTCTCTCTCTGCAGCCTGGGTGACTGGCTGTACCTCTCTGCAATGTTGGGTGACCAGGTATCAGGTGCACCCTCGCTCTTAGGGATCCGTGCTCACTCATTCACTTCACATTCTGACACATCACCTCGCCCTCAAGGCGCAGAAAGCTGAGACCGGCTGTGGCCCAAACTTCAGAGCCTTGATTTTACCTCATCTGGAAAAGGGCCCCACTGTGGGCTCTCCTTCTCTGTGGCTCCCACTTCTGGCTACACAACTGCAAGGTCAGCAGGAGGATACTGGTCCTGTGTCCTGTGTCCTGGTCGCAGGAGCTCACCACGTGTTTATGCATCCACACCTCCCCATACACCCGGTTATCCGTCATTCACTGCCAGGGGGTGTTAAAACAGTGCTGTGCTCCTGGAGGCCGTCCTCACTTATGGGGCAGGACCCTTCCTCTGCAGCTTCCTTTGCTGGGCTATCAGGTGTTTCCGTGTCACCTCACCATACTCTTGTTCCTGTTCATAGGACAAAAAGAGAGGATATTTGTGCATTTTTCAGGAAAGTTATTTCGTGTCAGTGGAATCTACCACCCTTCCCTCTCCAATGTTCAGATTATAGAATTCAGTTTTAGTGGTAAAAGGGCTGTGATTTTTCTCTGCTGGACAGTTTGATGAATAAGACATGCAGATTTATTTAGGTATGTTTTTAACTGCCCTCTTGATACTGTTCTCCTGATTTTGAGTACTAAGAAGGAGAACCCGGTTCAAGCAGTAGGCACCACCAAACATGGCCCAACATACATCAGTTGAACCATATGAAGTTGCTAGTTCTGTAGGTCAAAAGCAGTGGAATATCAACAATTTCCTGTTTTCAACATAAAAATCGTAAGTAGCATCAAGAACTCCTTTAGTGAGAAAGCATCACTGGACTGTGTGATTTTGTCAGTTTTTTTTTTTTTTTTTAACAGATCACAGTTTTCTTTCAGTGTTTCCCAGTTAATTATTTCAAATTCGGTTATAACTATTTGTAGATAGGCGCTAGGATGCATCTCTGGAATCAGCTTCAGCCAAAAGCATAAATTCAGGGACCCCAAATGGCACCAACTCCTAAATCTGTTTGAATTCTTAGAATTACAACCCTGAAAAACCTCAGAGAAGCAATTACCCAAACAGCCTAAATGCAGCAAAAGAAAAATCAGAGCAGAAAGACTGAATGAAGTAAGTGGAAGACAGATGTGAGTGCTGGCAGATTAATTATAGAATAAAATCAAATATCTTTCCCAAATTGGCAAACACTTCACGGACACTCCCTAAGATGCTGGAAAGAAACTTGGAAGTCTTAGGGTCCACATAAGCCAACTTTATTCTGGCTTTCTAAAGAAAATTATGTGGACAACAAAGACATACAAAACATGACCACGCTAATCTTTATACAGATTGCGTGTTTACCTCTCAAGTGAAATAGGAAAAATGATGCTTAGTCCCCCAGCATCTTCTGATGTTCCACTTATTATACATAATAGCATTACCTAGTTACTATAAATGCCCTGCTCTTTCTGCCACTCTGTCCCTGAAAAGGCTTCCCGAGTAATCTCAGAAATAAAAGTATCTTCAAGTTGGAAACTCCAGACATCTAACTCTCCTCGTCTCTTTCTCTCCCTCCGTCTTTTACAATAAAATGTTGGCACACTCCCTGTGTGCACAGAATTGTCATAAGATGCCTGGAGAGTGTAATACTAAGATGGTTTTTGAGAACTCTGAAGCTCTGAGTCCCAGGATAGGTCACAGACAATGGCTGGGCAGGACACAAGGGTCCCCTGTGTCAGGGAAAGGACCACAATGCAAGGGTGACCAAACTGGAAAAGCTGTGAAGCTGCCTCAGTGAAGGGCACCAGCCCTGAAGACTGCAGTCTTTCCAGCCAGCTGTCATGCAAAAAGGAGAGGGATAACAAAACTAAGACAAACTTTTCTATCAGATCAGAAATACACAGGAACCTCATATCTGAAATAAAATCCGAGAACTAGCTGTCTCAGTTGGCTTATTCGTTTAACACTGCTTCTGTTACATGCAGAAGACATGGCCCTTAGAAATCCACTGTAGTAAACTTTCTTCTTGGCCTGGAAAGGGGTCTCAGAGCTCCTTAGTTCTTTCTTTGGCTGGACTGCCCTGCAATGTACAGGAGCCTCCGTCCTGACAGTCAAATTTATGTAATTAATCATCACAGACTGAAGGGAATCATGCAATCAGTCAAATGGATTTTTTTTTTTTTAAAGACAATCTCACTCTGTTGCCCAGGCTGGAGTACAGTGGCGCAGTCTCAGCTCACTGCAACTTCCACCTCCCAGGTTCAAGCAATTCTCCCTCAGCATCCTGAGTAGTTGAGACTACAGGCTCGTGCCACCATGTCCAGCTAATTTTTTTTTATTTTTAGTGAAGATGGGCTTTTACCGTGTTAGCCAGGATGGCCTCAATCTCCTGACCTTATGATCCGCCCGTCTCGGCCTCCCAAAGTGCTGGAATAACAGGTGTGAGCCACTGTGCCCAGCCCCAAATGGATTTTAAAAGCTTAAATTTGCAACTCTGCCCTAAAAAGCCCTATGAAATCAGTTCAAAGCCTGAGTGTTTGATAAGTATACATTTTGTTGTAACTACAGTTAAGCAAGAGAGACAGCTCCATGACAAAGAGACATACTGGAAAGCAGCCCACAGTGCCCCCAGCAGCGAGGGACCCATCTCTGCTGTGCCAAAAAGGAAGCTGTCTGGCTAGAGGCTGACTAGCCCTCATCCCAAAAACCTGAGCTCTTTAGGATTTTCAATTTTTTGAATTTTAAAATATTTGCATTTATACTTAATTTTCAACTCCAAAAACTCCAAAACTGAAAGGATCCAATGAGCATTACGTCAGCGCTCAAAACATTTCAGATTTTGGAGCATATTCAATTTCAGATTTGGGATGTTCAACTCACACCTGGGATAGAACTGGTTCTTATTCCAGCTGGCCCCAGAAAAAATAAAACTCAGTCATCTCAAAAGTAATGATTCAAGAGGTCTTAATGTTGCTTTTCCAATATACATATGTCATTAAATTGTGTCCTCCTGAGGGGCCCTTCCAGCAGAGGTGGTGGCCTTATCATATTCCATGGATGTCATCCCCACCCCCCACCCCCATCCTCCTGCCTGCCATTTGGTTCATGTTACAGAGCAAACTGGCAGAGCCAGGGATGGTCTCAGCATGGTACAGCCTCACACTCTCACCGGGAGGAACCACCAGGCTTCTTAGACACCACTGCACTGAGATCACCTGCCACACAGCCAAAATCAGGCCAGCAGGTCCCTGTCCACCTCCATCAGCGGCGGTGTTTCTGACACCGAGATCTGCAGCTACACTGTTGAGCAGCAGCACGGCTGCCTCCGGGGCTCGGGTGCCCTCCGCCGTCCCCTCTAGGAGGCTCTGGGCAGCCTTTCCAGGAGATGGTCTCATGACACTCAACAGGCCTGCCCTGTGCAGGTCTCCCTGTAGAATGGATGTGCTGTCAGACACCACGTGGGATAGGAGGTTAAGCAAGAGGCCCTTTTTTGTCTCAAGTGACAACATTAAGAGGTTGCATTTTTACTTTCCAGAATGACCCATTACTGAAATTTTTACCTTAAAATAGATGGAGAAGAGTTCAGTCTTTTGGATTTAGCAACCCTCTGAGGTGTCAACAACTTGTGGACTGGTAGGGTCAGATTTCTTTGGATGGGAAGTCAGGGATTTCCAAAGGGATTTCCCCCACCCCCATGTTGTGGTTGGCTCTAGAATCAGAATTCCACTAAGAGGCTTCCTGAGGTTCTGCACAGGGTGCCCATCCTTGTTACTGGGAAATAACTGAAACTCTCCCAACCCTCAATCAGGGCGTTTGGAAGGATTTTTACCGTGGGTGATTGTCAAAAAGGGTTTCCAGAACCCACTTGTGGAGTCACAATCAGGCCATGCACAGAAAGTCAGCATTGCAGTTTCTATGGAAGGCGTGGGAGGCATGGGGAAGATGGGCAGTGACCAGTTTACTTCTTGCTGGTAATTAGGAAATCATTTCATAAGAACAAAGGCTAATTAAATATAAATATTATCAAATATAAACAATAAAATATATGCAGTATTTTCCCCCAAAGGATATAAGTTTCTTCTGGGCCTTATAAATATCTACACTTTAAGTTTCTATACATTTTTTTACTATTAATACAAATTTAAAACTATGATTTCCCAATGTGGACATTATATATTTAATGTGGACATTAGTCTAGTCAGTATTAAATATCATGCTCTATTTTAATAATACTGGTTGCTAAATACAGTCTTCTTTCAAACAATTATGGTCAGCTTAATTTTTTAAAAGAATGTGGTAACTGACTTAGGGAGTTTCTGTAAACTTCTGTGGTATGTTTTGCTTCTAAGAAAGTCCTTTGGCTGGGCATGGTGGCTCACACCTCTAATCCCAAAACTTCAGGAGGCTAAGACGGGGTGGGTGGATTGCCTGAGTTCAGGAGTTCAAGTCCAGCCTGGCCAATATGGCAAAACCCCGTCTCTACTAAAAAAAAAAAATACAAAATTAGCTGGGCTTGCTGGCACAGGCCTGTAATCCCAGCTACTCAGGAGAATTGCTTGAGGCAAGAGAATTGCTTGAACCTGGGAGTGGGAGGTTGCAGTGAGCCGAGATCACACCATTGTGCTCCAGTTTAGGCAACAAGAGTAAAACTCCATCTCAAAAAAAAAAAAAAGAAAGAAAAATTCCTTCCAGCGTCTTCCATGCTTTGCCTGTGTCCT